TAGAGCACAGTTTGCTGTCCTCTAAAGATGCCAGCCACAGAGACTGGCGAAACGTTAGGAAGAACCACTTTCAGAACACGGCCAAGAAGCCTGAAAAAACCCACAACAACCATTAGATCCCGGCCGTGAAAGCCTTCGCGAATACATTAAAGAGGTTTTTTGCAGTATATTAAAGATAAGCAACTAATCAACTTTTTAAAAAAAGCTATAAATGGTTTTGATGTTCAAGTGAGAGAAATTCAGTCTGTCTGGGGCTTGAACAAGTGCGTGAACACCAGACTGGAGTGACGACCGGCAAACCAGACAGGAGCAGCTCGTGGGCCGTATGTGGCCCTCAGGCTACACTTTGCCCAGGACTGATCTAATGCCAAGGAGGTTGTCTTGGTTCTTAACAAGTGCCTGTTATCTATAATGTGCTTGATGAGGGCAAACAAACGAACATTTGATCCAGACAAAACCGAAGTGCTCCTGGTCAGTTGGAAGGACAGGACAGAGATTCGACCTCTGCCAAATTGGGTTGTGCTCCCTCTGAAAGCACAGGTTCGCAGATTGAGTGTACTCCTGGATTCATCCCTCAGCATCGATGCCCAGATTTGGCCAGGAGTGCTTTGCACAGTTAAATTTGGGGTGACAGCTGTGCTCATCCCTCAAGATGTCTGATTTGACTACAGTGAAGTATGCCTTAGTTACATCCCCCTTACATTACTGTATCCTGCTATTTGCTGCTGTGTGTTGGGTACAAATGCAGAAATTACTTACAGTGGGGTCTTGACTTAAGAACTTAATCCGTATTGGAAGGCGGTTCTCAAGTCAAAAAGTTCTCAGGTCAAATCTGCATTTCCCATAGGAATGCGTTGAAAACCATTTGATCCGTATCTGCTCTTTTCCGTCCATAGAAACTAACGGGAAGCTGCTATTCTGCCTTCGACCACTAGAGGGGGATATTTTGTTTCTTTTTTTCTTAGGTCAAGAAAGGTTCAGGGAAGGCAGGGAAAATACAGTCCCGGCAGTCCAGTACCAGGCAGTCCCAAGACTGTCTCCCAATCCACTCTCTAAACGCTGGGAGGAGTGAGGAAGCAGACAGGCACCCTTTTCACTGGCCAACAGTTAACTGAAAGTTCAAATTTTGCACTTTCCCTGCCTCCCATGTGGTTTTTTTCAGTTCTTAACTCAAATCTAAGTACTTAAGTCAAGTCAATATTTTCCTATGAGAGTGGTTCTTAAGTCAAAATGTTCTTAACTCGAGCCGTTCTTAAGTCAAGACCCCACTGTACACATATATTGTCAAACACATTTGTTTTTCTTTCATAGGAGACTTTGCAAGCCCAGAAATGTCCAGGGTTCTGAATGCAGGCTGTAACCCTTTCCATGTTTTGTCCAGGAGGTGCTCAATCTCTTTCCATGCTTTGCTTGAGAAGTACAGAGTCTAAAACAATCTATGACAAGTAGACTTTACCAGACTAGATTTCTAATCTCCATGGGCCTTTGGTTCATTTTGGGGTCCAATTCAAAATGTTTCCTCCCTCCCTCCCTCCCTCGCTTGCTCCCTCTTTTTCAAGACCCTCTCTCACTCTAGTAGAGCCAGAGTTCCTGAAAAATCCCCCATCCCTGCATTCATTTACATGAGACAGATTCTTCTATCCCTCTGCAAGCACAGAGCACCACACAATCTCTGGCTTGTTTGCTACATGAGCCAGAGTCTGTCCTGTGCTAAGTGAGGGTGCCTTTTGCTTGCAGATGGAAGTAGTGAATCCAACCTTGTGAAAATGGCAGGAAAAGAGGAACTGCATGAAGCATCACACCTATGGTAAAAACAAAGAGGACTTTGCCCCCAGACATTAAAGTCTCCCTCAAAAGGCCTTCTCTGAGTGGCCTTGCCAGAAAAGGCATTATAAGCAGCTGCAGGGGATGAATTTTTTTCAGAGCTAACACCCCACCCAAGGAATGTTTGCCCCAGAAGGGCTCCAAACTTTGAATCTTCCATCTTTCTAAACGTTTTAAAAGTAATTTCAGTCCACCTTTATTCTCTGCTGTCCAAATTTAATGCTGTGCTTTAGATATTTTGGACTTCATACTTATTTCCCTTTATGTTGAAAGTGACCCTCAGTACCTTTTTGCTTTGGACTGGGCGGTGAATGCTGCACCCCTTGACTAGTAATCTAGTCAAAGGGTGCAGAATGGCAATGGGGCAGGAAACATTGCCATATTCTGAGCCTATGCTTTGGGCTTTGCTAACACTGAAGCTTGGTTTATTCTTTACAAAGAACAAGGGAGAAGCAGCAGTTAGATGAGTAAACAATGGAGAAATAATAAATCTGTAGAAAGGGAAAGGGAACTCAAGATCATTAGAGAAGTACGCTGGATGAATACAAATTGTCCCCTGAACTCTGTTCAACTCAAGCCAGCAAATTTCAGTTTCTTTTATTCACATATCAATGATCTTGAGGGACAGAACCTTGTTATTTGTGATTTAAAACCAAGATAGAGGATGTGCAAAGCAAACATCTTTGCCAAATACTAGGCTGTACTTGGAATCCCACATGCAAGAGAACAGAGAAGAATGAACAGCTTCAGTGGTGACCTTGCTTAATAAAAGTACATTGTAATCCTCATGCAAAGTTCATTTGCTCTGAAATCAACAAGCTCCATCTGCTCAACAGCCAATTTAATTGTTTCCACATTGTTTTTCATATCTGGTATACTCACTCTAGGGCCAAATGGACCTGGAATCCCAGCGCTGCCTTGTTCCCCAATAGGACCCTTAAAAATATAAAGTAATTTTTCTGTATTATCTAAGCTTAACATTATAGTTCATCTTTAAAGGGGAAAATACGGAGCGTCAGGTATGCATAAAAATACATATAGGCCAGAATCCATAAAAATACATATGGGCCAGAAATACATATGGGCCAGAATACATATGGGCCAGCATTAAGCACAATAGTATAAATCACAACAGTGAATTGCTCCTAGTGAATGAGTTGCCATTTGTACTGCTTGTTGTGCACCAGGCATATGACTTGGCACATGACAAGGAATACAAGCAGCGATTCTCTAACCATCAGTAATTCACCTCTGCAAATTCCAACACTGCACTTAATGCTGACTTATAGAAGCAAAAAGCTCTACGTAGGCCCCAATTATTCACGAATGTTAGTCTCATCATTTCTAAATGTGACAGGATAGTAACATGTCCATAAATGTGAAGATAACAGAAAAACAGATTTAAAAGAAAAATGCGTACTTATACAGAATTATGGTTAGGATCACACACACAATGAAAGGATGAAACAGCCAAATGATTCCACAATCATATCCATCTTGTTGCATGTGACACCTTCGCTTATGTACAATTGTCCACATCTGTAAAAAGCCTACGGCAAGAGTTTCCAATCAATAAAGAAGGGACTCTTTTTAAAAAAATTAGGAGAAAGTTGGTACTCTGTTGGGCATTTTTAAAAAATAGGAGAGATATGTATGTATAGTACTCCTCTCTTTTAGGTTCTTGATGTGGCAAGGATCGCATGTGTTTCTAAGAAAGACAGGTAGCAATGTAAAGGAGATAAGTAAGTTCAAAGAACTTCTGTGTTACGTAGCCAACCATTCTGATGGTGTGGTGGTTTCAAAAGGCAGTAGAGACACACTGCCCAGAAAGGGACACTCCATTAATTTCAGAATGCAAAATGTTCCACTGAAATAAATACAGAAGGACAGACACACAAAGCCTTGGATCTGAACAAGTGTAACAATGAAAATGCAGGTAATGACTTACAGGAGGTCCAGGAAGACCTTGAAGGCCAGTGAAACCTCGGTGACCCTTCTGACCTCTGTCACCTCGATCTCCGTTATCACCTTTGTCACCACGAGGGCCTTGCGGACCCTAGAGGTTGGGGATGGGGAGCAATGAAGTACAGAATACAGCCAAAGTTAAGCACATTTCTGTCTCGTGGACTTCAGTGGGAATAGCAATCAGGTGCTTAAACAATCAGTGGCACTTAAAAACACTTAACTTGATTATACAGTCATGCCCCGCTTAATGACGAATCCGCTTAACGACAATGTTTTTGCAATAGCAATTGCGATCGCAAAACAATGTTTTAAATAGGTTTTTTTCACTTCCCGATGATCGGTTCCCTGCTTCGGGAACCGATTCTTCGCTTAACGATGATCAAAACAGCTGATCGTTGGGCTTTCAAAATGGCCACCAGGTGCTTAAAATGGCTCCCCGCTGTGCTTAGAGATGGATTCCTCGCTATACAGGCACCAAAAATGGCCGCTGTATGGAGGATCTTCACTGGACGGTGTTTTTAGCCCACTGGAATGCACTGAACGGTTTTCAATGAGTTTCAATTGACTTTTTAATTTCGCTTTATGATGTTTTCGCTTAACAGCGATTTTCCTGGAACGGATTATCGTTGTTAAGCAAGGCACCACTGTATCTAAAATGGATAATTCTCTTTGAATATCTCACAGTGACACTACAGTATTTACTATTTATTACAAGTTCTTCACTTATGGTAGAAAAGAATTCAAATTCAATCATTCTAGAGAATCTCCACCTTTGCTCTGTGTATTAAGGTGAGAAGAAAATTTCTACTACCAACAGCTTCAATTTACTTACACTTTGCAACAAAATGAGTTTAAGAATATCAGTTTGCTAGGTGGTGGTAAGGCTTTAAAAAGGATGCATACATTACGGGTATTGATTTAGCTTTTGTACATTTCAATCATGTTAAGCTTTAAAATACAGGGATATAAGCCCTGTATTTACACATTGAACTCATTTTAATCTACAGTAGAGCAACTTAAAATTTCAGAACTGCTTGAAAGTTGATTAGACGTACGTTTGGAGAAAAAACATAGTGGGAACTGAAAATATTGTAATAGATACAATAAGTGAAGTTGAATATAAAATAACTGATTGTAAAGGGAAAGTAACAAAAGAGATAACTTGGGAATAAAACCCAGCTGTCTAGTAATTCTAATTATTTTTCTTTCACAGCTAACTCATTTGTAGGCAGTTTAGAAGAACTCATCTGGGACATACAGGCAATCCACGTTTTCCAGCGCGACCAGGAGGACCCACTGGTCCCCGTGAGCCCTAAAAGGAGAAAAAAATTGACCTCTTAATCATTCTCTTTGGTTCATTCATTCAGTCATGTTAAATGTTATAGATCTTTTATAAAACACTTCCAAAATGAACCTACAGTAAGGTCTGGCAAATCAAATGTCAGGCCCATTCTGAAGAAAGGGAAGCGACTAGAGGGTTAACACATCCTCTGGCTGCCACCTCCATTCGCCACTGGGCTTTCCCTACCATTTTATAAGTGGCTCCATTCCAGCATAAAGACTGTTTAGGAAGAACCACGATAGGCACTTGAAAATGTACGTAACTGCTTACAGAAGTTCCAAGAAGACCTTGAATGTATTTTACTGGCCAATGGAACTGTCAAGCAGGGAATGAAGCAAGACAAAGCTAGAAGGAAACAGTCATACTTACGGGTTCACCTCTTTGTCCTGCATCTCCTGTAGGTCCAACTGGCCCTGGAGTGCCTGGAGAACCTGGAGAACCAGGAAGGCCAGCAGGACCAGGTTCACCGCGATCACCCTGTAAGAAAAAAATGATCCCATGTCAATATCCCATTTGATGTGTTCATATCATACCACACCCGTGTCAGTGGATAGCATTCTTCAAGTTGTGATCCTGCTGAAGCCAAAAATGGCACTGTTCATGTACAAGAGGAAGGTATGAACACAATAGAGACTTAAAGAAGAACAAACAAATCTTAGAAAAACTCTTAACAGAGGGAAGTTTCCAAACGGCCCAGAGTATAGAGACTTAAAGAAGAACAAAAAAACCTTAGAAAAACTCTTTTAACAGAGGGAAGTTTCCAAACGGCCCAGTGAGGACTGAACATCCTCAGGGGCTACAGAATGCACAACTCAGTCATGCAATAATTTTATTTTATTTTTTTAAAAAAAGTAACTTCTAACTTAGGAATAATATCACCCCTGGACTAAACCCTAAAGGAATCATTCTTTTCACTCTGTGGGACTGAGCGGTTCCTTGAACTGAAAACCCATACAAATATGGGTTGAAGAAAATAAGCTCATTCACAAAAATAAGGCATGGAGTGATTTGAAGATGGAAATGCTAAAACCACATTTGGCATGGCATGGCTTGTCTTTAAATCACAAAACCGATGCTAAAACCACATTTGGCATGGCTTGTCTTTAAATCACAAAACCCACTGGCACACCTAATACTGCCCTTGTGTAATGAAGAATAGCTAGTGGTTCCCTCAAGCAACAGAGACAATAGAGTGTGTGGCCAGTGGCTCCCCAATGAGAAAGAACAGGAGGCCACCCACATTTCCTTCACTTCTTTCCTATCTCGACTAAAATGGAGTCCTTATGAACTAAGCCCGTGTTTGTGAATATAGGTATTTTTATTTGACACTCTCCGACTTTAAAACTGAATTCACTTGCAGTCCTCATTTCTACTCGAGGTTATTATAAGAAAAATCACGATCATGGTTATGATTTTCTCCAACGATTGGTTTATTATATAAGCATAATGGAAACATCATCATGACATTATCAGTAGCAATATTATACACACTTACCCTTTCACCAACGGCCCCATCTCGTCCTGGTGTACCATCATTTCCATGTGGACCCTATGTTGAATGAAGAGGGAAGGCATATATTAACTGTAGCGATGTCTGCTCATGGAGCTGACTGCATTGTACAGGAGAATGACCCTGAAGCTGGTCTGGAAAATACCATTGCTACTAGAACGTATCATAGACACATATGAAATGAACTGGGGAAACAGCCGATTTGTTATACGTGGAAAAGTTACTTTTTTTGATTACAACTCCCAATTCTGGTGTGAGCTGACATCACAGAGTTTTATATATTTATTTTGCTCCAGTATGCCATTTTTGTTGAGCAGTTCTCCTGAGAGGGTAAATAGGAGTACTTTTCATGTTCTGAAAATGTATTCAGAAAAGCAATCCTTACTGGTGTATTTTGTCCCTGAACAGCTTGGAGCATGAATCAGAATACTGTAAAGACCAGCTCATCTCCCCTAAGCCTCCTTGGCTATTCTTCACCACCTGCTCCAGGAGTAAGGTTGCTGGGTAAGGCCTTTGGAGAGGGCTTCTCTAGTTGCCTTGGCTTTGGCACTCACCTTTTCCAAGGACACATGCTTGGAAGCAGCAAGCCTCGTATTTTCCAGAACCAACTTTTGCAATCACTGGCAACTTTCAGTTGTTCTCTTCCTAGGCACTCCTTTGTCTTGTTCTCTTGTTGCTGTTTCTATTTTTTAAAAAGCACTGCCATTGTTTTAAATAATGGGCTAGCTGGTCTCAGAGGCCTGATAAAGCATGGCAGAAGTCTTGCAAATGAAACAAGAGCTCAAGAGTAGGCTTCTGTGAGTTCAAGGATTTCACCACAGCAGTTCTTCATCATATTTGTACTGCGATTTGGAACCATCAACAGTCGTATCAAAATATAGCCTAGGAAAGACCACTTACCTCTGGGCCTGGTTCACCCACTGGACCAGAAGCACCTGGAGGGCCGATGGGCCCAGAAGGACCTTTGTCTCCTGGAGCCCCTGTTCCACCTTGCTTTCCTGGTGTACCCTAGCGTGAAAAGAAATTACATGTCAACAATTAAGGCCACTGAAGATGCAGCTAACAAAATATGTGGGGACCCCTCAACACTGCAGGCCAATCTGAAATTGGTACAATATGAAAAATAATTTATCAGACCCCAAATCGTACAGGCTACAAGAGGGGTGGACTCCTATCTTTAGAATATCAACTTTGATGGTACTCACAGCAGGCCCAGGTAGCCCTGGCATGCCTCTCTCTCCACGTTGCCCTGGCATACCCACAATGCCTCTCTGGCCAGTAGTTCCGGCTGGGCCTGGAGGGCCATCAGGACCCTGGAACATAGAAAGAGGCTATTGAAATCTCCAAAGTTTACTTTTAACCAAAGGAACCCAAGTAATTTATCGTATGCACTACATAATTTGAACCCTTTTCAGAGTTTGATACAAAAGCAAAGAGCTGCAATGTCACACAAAAGGCTGCTTTCAGATAAGCAATAAATGAACATAAACTATCCGTCCACAACCTGGTGTCCTCCACACCAGCCATTCTCAGTGGGGGCCACAGGGCCCCATGGGGAGGGGCTGGCATATTTGGAAGGAGCCACAGACTGGTAACAATTCTTCATACACCACCTTACAAAGTTTGTTATGCAGCTTATACAATCCTGGTTCGGCTTATATTTCTTTCATATTGTATTTATGTCTGTGGCCAAAAAACAAAAAACAAAAAAACCCCAAAAAGTTGAGTATGGCTGCTCTACACAATTTGGGCTCCAAATCCCACAAGTCTCGACCACTGCTTATGGTTGTTAAGGGGGATGGGAATTGAAAGGAATAGAATGCAGAAGGTTGAATGTGGCTGATATGAACATTTTCAGTCACTGAAATCATGTGCTTTAGAAGAAACTGTCTGAAGGCAAACTACAGTGTGAAAGGTTGTGTAATCATTTGAATTACAGAATTATCAGGGTTTCTCTGGCCCTTCCTTCCTGACCAGGACCCAAAGTGTCATTTTGGTAAAATAAGGTCAGATCTATGGTGTGTCAGGCCCAAAGCAGAAATGCCTTCAAGTAAAGCAGGGGATGAACAGATACTGGTCAGGATAAAGGATAAGGGGAGGGGAGAGGAGAGGATAATGAAATAAATAACAAGAAGAGAAGAGAAGTAGCCATTGTTGAGGAAAGGGCCAGACAGTGAGGTCAGCTTAGAAGAATGGCCGCCATGACATAGAATGTAGGAGCCATCACAAAGGTTGACTGATCATATGCTAGGTGGGAGCTGACTCTGAAGTAATTTTATTCTGCTTATGAAATGGTTTCCACTATTGCTCTCATTCAGTGATGCCAAATGCTTAACTCTTTCAAAACATACAGTACACATATTTGGGAAAGGAACAGATTGCTGATTCTCTTGCATGCGCATAATCCTTTCTTAGCCACTTCCCCCTACTTACATGTTGTCCGTCTTCTCCCGGGTCTCCTTTGTCTCCAGCACTGCCGGGTGGCCCAGCTGGCCCTCGATCTCCCACTCGGCCATGAGCACCAGGATCCCCACGAAGACCTGGAGGGCCTTCTTTGCCTGGTTCACCAATAGGCCCAGCTGGACCAAGAGCTCCCTAGAAAGATAGGAGGTGGCTACAAAGTGGGTTCTCCAATATAAAAAAAGGCAGGGTTGGCTGGTTGTCTTTGCTCCACTTATATCCTGCTTCTCTTTATCCTAGAGTTCAAAGCCAAGGACATGGAGTCCCCAGGCAATCCCCCACTGAGGTAGTAATCAGGCCTGAAACAACTTTGCTTCCACAGGATTTATTCACTTCAGGCATTTCTACTTTCCAGCTTCTCGATGTAATATCTATAAGGGTGACCTTATGACAATAACCTGAGACTTCTGGCTGCCACAGGTATGTGCACATTGCAATCTTTACCTTTCAATGCCAGAGAAAGATTGCATATGATTAACAAAATAAGACAAACAACTCAATTAGAGCTGGGTTACAGCTATTGTTGTTACTGTAAATAAACATATGGTAGCTTCCAAAATTCTTCATGCATTGCAATCTTTACCTTTCAGTGCCAGAGAAAGATTGCATATGATTCACAAAATAAGACAAACAACTCAATTGCTATTGTTGTTACTGTAAAAAAACATATGGTAGCTTCCAAAATTCTTCATATGGCCTCAGTACAGTTTTCCCATCTTGAACTGAGCATCCTCTGAAATACAAATATTTCCTTCCTGCCTCCAAATTAAGAGTTTGCTTATATTACATCACCTTTGACTTCTTGTGTTTCCCTTCTAACAGATGAGTGAGCGAGAGACAGACGCTGGCAAACAAGTCTCTGCATTAAAGTATTCTTTTCCTAGGCTTCTTTTACCAGCTCTCATTTGAATAATTGGAGAAATTGAGTCAAAGATTTAAAATATATAATCTGGCCTTAATTCCTACTCATAATTAGTTATTTGTTTATTATATTGCTACTTTTCCTCTAACAATCTGGAACCAACACAGATGGTTTACCACCCTGCTCATTTCATCACACCAATTTGAGCAATAATCCAAGGTCACTAGATAAGCTATGAGGAAAAAAAAACTGGGATTCCCTACCCATAATATTATACAGTACTCTGTCCCATATGGGACCAGACTGCTGAAACTAAAATGAGGCCATCTACAACAGGACTATATTTATTTAGAGCACAGCTGAGCAATCTCTCTCTCAGCTCCCATTATGGGCTCCACGGGGTCCCAAACAGCTATTTTCTGGCCATTTAAAAAACACCTGCAAAGAGGAAGTGTCCAGGTGGCTATTTCTGGTTTTCTTCCCATTTGGGAGCATGGTGCAACATGAAGGTGCCTCCCCCACAAAGATAAAAAGCCACTGTTCCTGCAGGCTTCTAGATGGGAGGGGAAAGTTCTGGTTCTCTCGGTTTTCTGCATTTGTAAACCTGGGGGCCCCTGGGGGCAATGTGTGGCCCATGAGCCCCACAATGCTCACCCCAATTTAGAATGTACACTTACTATTGAGATTGTTATAGAATACATCTGAATAAAAGTCCAACTTACAGTAGGTCCTGGGGGCCCAACTCTTCCAGCAGATCCAGGGAAACCTGTAGCGCCCTAGAAACAAACAGACAGGCATGAGACCGGGGTGGGGGTGGTTTGAGGGAATTTATATGATATATCTGTAGAAAAGAAACATATTTAATCACCATGGGTAGAATCCAAGAAGCAGAGGTCCAAGCAAAATAAATGGCCCTTATCTCCTTGCCCAAGTCTCACCTGTTACCTAGGTTCTCAGAAACTCTGGTCTAGAGAGCCTCGAAACCCTTCAGGGCAAATTTTCAGGGTATGCAGCGGGATACTGTGACAAACTACCCCCACTTCTGTTGCCGGCAGAGGCAGGAATTGAGTACTCCCTCCTACGTGAAATGCAGAGGCCAAATGCAAGGCAGCTTGTTTGAAATGAGCAGCAACCTTACAGCTTTAGATAACAAGTAAAGGCAGGTCAATCTGCTTAGTTACTCTACTTACGGGAGGGCCTTTAGTACCACGGCCACCTTTTAGTCCATTAACTCCAGAAGGACCCTGAATAGAAATGGGAGGAAAGGGGAAGGAAAAGAAAAATAAGACGTTGATATTTAGCTCCTGAAATGGGCACCAACTAAGACTGTCCTTCAGTGAGGATCGTACTTACTGGCGGGCCAGGAGAACCTGCTAAACCTTGTGGTCCTGGGGATCCAGCATCTCCTTTTTGCCCGGGCTCTCCAGGTTCACCTTTCACACCCGGTTGTCCATCAGGGCCCTACTCACATCAACACACACAAGGCACACGAAGTTAGAGAGCTTTAAAGTTTTCATTGTGAGAACAATCCATAACAATCATTAAGCAAAGTTCTAGCAAATGGTTCAGCCAATTGATTAATGTACCAGAGTAGAATTTCATACAATGTAAACAAACACTTCACAGTATAATTATGGCTTTGCTTCACTATCTCTGAGTTCTTTTCCACTGTTTGGGTCCAGATCCTTCACATACTTCTCAAATTCTGGTATGAGTGTGCGTTACATGCCAAGAGATGCCGTTTTCTACTCTTCTTTAAGATAAGACGAGAACTGAATATATAAAACAGAGCCATGGAATTTTTTTAAAAAAATCCCGTTATCACCATGGAAAAGAATAATGACTTGCATTTTCTACGAATACCTCAGTTGTTTCTAAAACATGTGACTCACACTTTAAGGATCCTTCAAAACAGTTTAGCTTCACACTTGTGGAAGAGAAGGTGGGTGAAATGACAGGCTGGAATTACCTTTACACTGATGGAAGGTGGGTGAAATGACAGGCTGGAATTAAAAAATAAGCTTATTGGTTTAAGAATAATCACATACCGGAGGACCAGCAAAACCAACTGGACCAGTGGGGCCATTTTCACCACGGGTACCCTGAGGACAGAAATAAGAAAAAAAAAAAGTGGAACAAAGAAAACCAGAACTTAGCTTGAATGGTGTCAAATGCAAGTGGAGTGACAATATTCTGTTGAAAGGCTGATGCAAATTATGCAAAACCTGCATGATTTCTTGAAGAGATGTTTAAGGACCGGAAGCATCCAGAGGATTGGTTGCTTGAACACTCACCATAGTTGTTCTGAACACTCAACATGCAAGTACATTGGAAAAGCCTTCACAATTTGCTCTGGAATTGGCAATTAATTCAAAGTATTTTCCAAAGATCAAAAATCAATGCCAATCAGCCTGTCCCTTCCTCCTTCCAGTTTGGACTCCCACCCCCACCCCCAACACTGGGGGGCTTCTACTTTTTTCTAACTACAATGTGTTCTGCCTGTGTGATCGTTTGTTTTGTTCTATACAAAAGCGTGAGGGGCGTGACTTTGGGTGGTCTTCTGGCAACATAGCAAGTTGAGGCATGATGTTTGGGGACCGCAGGAGAACACACCCTGAAATCTTTCTCACCTGTCGCTTCTACTTTTTTCTAACTACAGTGTGTTCTGCCTGTGTGATTGTTTGTTTTGTTCTACAAAAGCGTGAGGGGCGTGACTTTGGATGGTCTTCTGGCAACATAGCAAGTTGAGGCATGATGTTTGGGGACCGTAGGAGAACACACCCTGAAATCTTTCTCACCTGTCACCCCCCAAAGCATTCGTCTTGAAACAAATGGTTGAGTCCAGTGCTAGGTCAAAGAGTGGAAGCAAAGCAGGCATCTTCTGGTATCACCTCTGTCAGAACTGAGATGAGGTCTGGGGATCAGCAGTCCCCCTATACGCTGGGTTCGAAACACCTTTTGAGTGTGGCAAAGCTCAGCTCAAAAAGCAAGGGCACAAAACATGGAGCTGGGTAGCCCTCGCTGGTTTCCCACCCCTCCCACTCTGATCCTCTCCCTTTCCCTTCCACTCTCCTTCTGGTGCTTGGCAAAATGAGACCTGAGGCATCTGAAAATGTGATCGGTTAGGAGGAGAGAGTGAAACAAGGACATCCTTGCCCAAATGAGATACCTGACTCCCTAGCAACGTTGTGTACATGTCTCCAATCCAATTTCAAAGCTGACACAGAACTTCGGCAGGTATCCTAACTGTTTCTGAAATAATTTGTAAACCACCACCACCCCCATTTTATTTGATTTTTGCCCTGTGTCAGAAATTATTTCTAAACTTTTCATTGCTCTGCACTGGAAAATCAAAGTAGTTCTACCACTTCTGCTTTCACACTGATGTAAGCAAAAGCTGGGGACAGACCTGAAACAAAGAGTAAATCTGCAAAATGTTGAAACTGATTTATAGATGCTACTCGGCACCTTTAACTGTTTCTGAAATAATTTGTAAACCACCACCACCCCCATTTTATTTGATTTTTGCCCTGTGTCAGAAATTATTTCTAAACTTTTCATTGACCTGCACTGGAAAATCAAATTAGTTCTACCACTTCTGTTTTCACACTGATGTAAGCGAAAGCTGGGGACAGACCTGAAACAAAAGAGTAAATCTGCAAAATTTTGAGATTGATTTACAGGTGCTACTCAGCACCTTTACCTTTCTTTCTTTTTCTTTTTTCCTTTCTTTTTCTTTCCTTTTCTTTCCTGTTTTTTTTTTTTTTTTAAAGAGCAAAGCTGAAACCATTTGTGTCCCACTGGATTCAGGTTGTGTTCCAGACACAAATTATTAGCAAATTCACCTTGATTTATCCAAGAAACAAATCCAGTCATTGTGCTTCAATGTGGACCTCGTACAAATTGGTCCAAACCCAGCAAATTTAGCTTTCGGACTTATTATTTATCCTAATCAGTTGCACTTATGTACTTTTGAAGCAGTGGAGAAAGCCAGCAGCACAAGTCACAAAGGTTGGCACTACAGTGTAAACACATCTCTCCTCCTAATAGCACACAGGCATGGGGGACGGCAGCATCTGAGCTACAGAAAAGGGGGGCAAGTGAATTGGGATAGAGAATGAAGGGATGAGATGCCATCTCGCAACAACCTGCTTTGTTGCATGGAGAGGGGGGAATGGGCTTTTTGTATCTAAATGAAAGACCCAAAACACAAATGAGGAAGTCCTCTCAGAGAAGCTCTTTCACGTCAGTTGTGCTCTATTGGCAACTGCCTATAGATGTTTACCTCTAAACATAAATAATTAGTGTTCATGGGGAAAAAAGTACACAAAAGTTTAGTGTTTCTTTCATGTTAATGTAATCTTTTCGTGTAACCTTCTGATGCCCTTTCATCCTCTGTCTGCCAAATTGCTTGAGACATTTTATATCCAACAGTGTCATGAGCAGGGGAGCAGTAATTCTCAATCTGGAAAGGGGACTGGAATCCAGTGAGGAGTGAGTTCCAGGCCCTTCACTTCAGCCATCCCTAGAGGGATTACTATGTGCTGAGCTCCTGGTGCCCTCCATCTCGTATTGCAGCTTGCCGGAAATCTAATGAGGCTAATGGGGGGGGGGTTCTGATTCCACCATGACACAGTTCATCTTTTTATGTAATATGTCCCTCCCCACTGATCATCCCTCCAATTTCTGTTCTAGAATTGTAAACAGTATGGAGAACTAATTAAAAAGGTACCCTGAAAATAGTGAAGGAAAGCACAACTTAAAAAAATTAGCACCAAATACATAAGAAAAATATAAATATGGTATTTACAAACATACTAATTGTGGCTTGATTTACTTACAGGAGTTCCACGAGAGCCTGGAGGGCCAACTAAACCTCGAGGACCAGGTTCTCCCTTCAAAAAAACGCACAATGTGTTATCATACACTGTCCTGAACAGTCAAAGATAGGTATGACAATGTCATCAAGAATTATCAACAAGCACCCCCAAAAATTTAAGTATTAAAATTCCCCCTACCCTTTTCCTTTCTGTATTCCCTATTTTTTTTTTTTTGAGAAAAGAGGGGGAAGGGGGGGGAGAAAAGAGTTGTCACCAAGCTCTTACCTTTTCACCAGCAGGACCTCCAGGGCCAACTGGGCCTAATGGACCTGGGAGACCCTATTAAAAATAAATAAATAAAGTGTTCCAGTAAGAGAAGTGTTCCTATCAAATTAAAAGAACATATATTTCTACACGTTTTCACTTTCCCCAGTTCTAATCTCAGATTTTGAAGAGTTCTTTCTTTACTCTAGGAGGGTGGACTTGTATGACATTTCACATTTTCTCTGCAACCTACATTTGAACCCATAAACAAATTCAAACATATTTAGGCGTAATCTGGCCTTTCTCACCAGATTACTGATAAACAAGTCCAAACTGATCCATAAGCTCGAACACAGGTTACAGGAACAAATATGACATGTCATAGAAAACCTTCCCCTTTAGCCTACAGTTTCCAAGGTGGTTAAGGTGGCGCTGTGGGCTAAACCACAGAAGGGTTAAGGTGTCCTCAGGGCTGCATTGTAAGGTAAAGGTTCCCCTTGACATTTAGTTCAGTCATGTCCGACTCTAGGGACTCTACTGCTCATCCCCATCTCCAATCCATAGAGCCAGCCATGGTCCGAAGATAGTTTCCATGGTCTTGTGACCAGCGCAAGTAGACACGGAAAGCCGTTACCTTCCCACTGTTGTGGCCAGCGCAAGTAGATACGGAAAGCTGTTACTTTCCCACCGTGGTGGTACCTATTTATCTACTGGCATTTACTGTACATGTTTTTGAACTGCTAGGTTGACAGGGGGCACTCTAAATGACACCATTAAAAAGAGGCTTGATGGGTTACAGCAGAGCTGCATCCAAAACTGTCTTGGGTGTTACTACACTAGATATTTTCACATGACATTTATCTTATAAAATTATAACAGCTGTAGCTCGAAGAGGCCAGAAAATGAAATGAATTGTTCTCACTGCATCCTTCTCCTTCCCTTGCTATCACAGCCACTCAACATTATTAACAACTGGCATCAAACTATGTTGCCATATTTTAATAAGGACAGTGGACTCATCATAATTAATTCTCGGCTGTATTAATGATTAAATAAGAGTCTTATGCACTCAACTGCCTGGAGAGTTCTGTGGTTTAGGTATGTGTCTGCAGAGCCAGAGGTTGGGAGTTTGATTCCCCCCATCTGTCCCTCAAGAAAAAAGAGCCGGCCTGTGTAAGCCTTGAGCAAGCTGCACAGTCCCAGGCCCACAACTGTTAAAGCTGATTGGATAGCTCATTGAGTGGCTGCACAGTCCCAGGCCCACAATTGTTAAAGCTGATTGGATAGCTCATTGAGTTAGGTATCTGGCTGCAGAACCAGAGGTTGGGAGTTTGATCCCCCAGGGTACCATAAGAAGAAAGGAATGGTCAACAACTTCTGAGTATTCTTTACCTGGAGAACCCTGAAAAGGGGTTGGCATGAGTCAAGATTGATTTGACGGTACATTATGATGCTGATGCTGAAGAGTTTTACATTTATAGTTTATTATTTAAAAATACGGGAAACAGCAAGCGGACTTACTCTTGCTCCATCATTCCCAGCTGTGCCTTCACTTCCCTTTTCTCCTATGCTTCCCTAAGAAAAAGCATATAAAATTTGAATTAAAATCAAGTAAGGTTATTTAAAAAGGATGACAAACAGACAAAAGATGAATGAGGAAGAATGGTTCTCAAAACATGAAGGGTGGCTGAGCAGTTGGCAGCCCAAGAGGCTTACCCTGTCCCCTTTGGGACCCGGAGTTCCGGCAATGCCTCTCTCTCCAGGCATCCCCTGAAGGCCAGGTGGCCCTTGATCCCCCGGAGCTCCAGAGGGTCCTGGGTTACCCTGAAATGGATAGAAACACACTTGGTTTGGTTTCCCCCTTTTCATTCACGAAAAAGAGTTTACGAGAGCCTTGGTCATTTAATGCAGGGGGGGGGAGGGAGAGTTAATTTCACTCCCTCTCCCCTCCTTTGCTTGGACCTTTAATAGGATTCTGTGATATTTTTGCATTTTTCTCCGTTTCAGGAGAGCTAGTTGAGACAGAAAAAAACGCAGTCTTTTAAGCTATAACAGGGGACTCAGTGAAAGCTGAATATCGTCCTGATCAACCTGCTTGCCTAATAGTAAATAAACACCCGGCCACAGCAAGTAGATCACAAGTTAGATAAGACTTTACACAGCTGTAGCAAAAGTATCATCAGTTTATTACAGACAAAATTCTTTTTTAAAATATCATCCAAAGCCCTGACTAATCCATGATGTCATGGTTTTATTGTGCATGGGAATTACTACAGCTTTAGTGGGCTTTCTTTCTTTCTTTCTTTCTTTCTTTCTTTCTTTCTTTCTTTCTTTCTTTCTTTCTTTCTTTCTTTCTTTCTTTCTTTCTTTCTTTCTTTCTTTCTTTCTTTCTGCTTGCACACAGTGGAAATTGAGGGACTCCAGCATTTCTGATCTGTGATCGTTTTGCACATCTTCATTTATACAGTGGCGAAAAATGTCGGAGGTCTGGAAACCGCACACAGCCACTCCTGGAACTTGAAGGGGTGTACGTCCTCCCATAACCCCACCCCCAACACATTTTTCTTAAATATTTTTCATATTTTTCAAATCTGAAAAGCCCGCCCTGTGCCATCTAGTGGCTACAGGGACCATTTCACCTTTTCTCAGCTGCTCCAGAGCTGTTCTCAGCTTGGAACAGCTGCTCCCCCATGTAGAAAACACGAGAGGACTTTCTGAACAAAATGTTTTTTTTCATTCTTTTGTGGTGGGGATCACATTGTGGACTATGCATGTTTTGCAAGACATACTTTGTCCAATCCTGTTTATAAATATGTTCTGTTACATCTCCAAATGAATCCGGTTTTAAAAGAACACAAGTAAAATTGAACTTTAAACCTTAGTATTCCATTTGTGATCAATACTTGCTTGCTCACCTCTGAAATTTGAGAAAATCATAATCTAACCATGATTTTACTGATTTTCTCCCCCCAGGTGAAAGTGGCTCTCCATGCTAATCTGGCCTTAAACTAATTCTGACCCTTGGAATACTCACTTTATTTAAAACTTTATCTATAACAGAATTCAATCTTTCTTTCTCTGTGTGTTTTACTTACCTTTGGACCATCAGGGCCTTGTCCTCCAGCCATACCCTTTTCTCCCTGAATACCATGTGGTCCTGGATTTCCTCTCTCACCTGGATTACCTCGTTCTCCCTGGACACAGAAAGATTGGAAATAATCAATGGTGGTAGTTGCACTGGTTGAAATGTGTGTGGTTGACTTCTGTAGACCAAGGACCCTCTTCAGACATTAGAAATTATACAGAGGAGTCATATGGAGAGGAGACAGCTCTAGCCTCTCTATCTCCAACCCACCCCCCACCCCCGGATTTTCTCATCCTCCTACATGTGAAGTGCAACAAGCCTGAAGAGGCAGAGCTTCACCATTTGCGGGCACTCTCTGTATGAATCTGGAGCCTGATTTTCCAGGGTCACAACCCCCAAGCCATCCTCCTAGAGCGGAGTGGGATATGCCTTTGCTAGAGATGGGCATGAATCAGAAAGATGGTGATTCGATTCATTTTGATCCATGATTTGTCAAGGTGGATGAATCATAAATTACGAATTCATGATTTTTTAATTTTTTCTTTAAAACCCTATAAAATGGCTAGAGACAACGGCAGCAGACCATTCTTTGTGTGTAACACAAGAAGGCTTAAGTAACAAGGACTTGGACGGGAGACCACCTTTAGAGGCCCATGATCACTGCTCTGGCCTCCATGGAGTGAACAAAACACACACAAGAGAAATGGAAAAAATTATGTAATCATACAGACAAAGGGACAAACAGTGCGTCCCAAAATACTGGCACAAAAAGCTGAGATTCACACCACGCTTTGTAAAGAAATTCAAATTATGATTATGAGGCTTGTTATCCTGCTGTTTCTATATTGGACTGCTTAAAAAAATCTTTAATTTTTTTGGTTGCTTTGGGTGATCTTTTTTTCTTTTTCTTTTTCAGATAATAAGATTTAGAGAACATGGTTGTTGTGGGTTTTTCGGGCTCTTTGGCCATGTTCTGAAGGTTGTTCTTCCTAACGTTTCACCAGTCTCTGTGGCCGGCATCTTCAGAGGACAGTTTAGAACTTTCTTGTGATACATTAAAAAGACACAACTTACCCTTGGGCCTAGAGGACCTGGAGCACCATGATCACCAGGAACACCCTTGTAGGGGAACAGGAAAACGTTATTAGTAACTATTACAAGTTACACACACAGAAAACATTATTATTATTA